CACTTAATACCGTATCTTTACTGTTTAATGACTCAATTTTGGTAACGTAAGCCAAATTAATTATCTATAAGGAAACTGTTCTGTTCAAAGGACTAGAAAGGCCAATTATTAAACAACATAAGTTTATTTAAGTGAACAAAGAAAACATTTCTCTACAGTTTCATTTCTAAGCAACAGCATAACGTTTCAGCACCTTCTATAAAAATTAACTATTAAACAAAACAAAATCTAAACTATAAACTAAGGTAAACAAACGATATTCTTACGCAGTCCATATTGTTAAATCAGGTTCCTTCGTCTGGATCAAAGAAATTCAACGCCATGTTTTCAGATACCCCAAACTCTCTTCTTCCTTCTCTCTCCCAGAGTTACTTTTTTTTCCAACCTCTTGTAAATTTCTCCAACCTGCCCCCTCCTGACCTATTCAACCAATCACGAAGGCAAGAATTAGCATAGGGTACGCCCTACTTTCCCACCAACACCAAAGAATTGTTTATCATTCAGGTTAGAGATATTTTGACTCTGCCATGTTTTTCTCTCCAGCTGCAGCGATAAGGTTAGCGAATAAATTTTCCAGAACTTAGCCTGTGTCAGACTCAAAATGGATTCCTCTATGGTTAAGACATGACTACATAACCCATCTCTAATTAGAAAAATACACTTCATCACAGTCAGCGTTGGAGAGATGTGTTGATATTTTCTCACTCCTGTAAGGAGCCTGGCCGCCGCGTTCTGCACCACCTGAAGTTTCCGTGTCAGCCTCAAAGGCCACGTAGAGCGTGTTACAATGATCTAATCTTGAGATTACGAGCGCGTGCACCAAGATTCCGAAGAATCTTGCATGGATGTGCAGTGTTGTGAAAAGCTTTACCGTTGAGGGAAGAAGGGAATATTTATCTCTGCGATGGAATTGTTGAAAGTAAAAGAACCCAACATAGGAAAAATATAGTCTCAAATCTATATACTTGACTGTAAAGAAAATATGTAAATCTGTTTTCTAGATGTTAGGTAGAGGTAAAGGTTCCCCTTGACAATTTGTCCAGTCATGTCCGCCTCTAGGGGGCGGTGCTCATCTCCGTTTCCAAGCCATAGAGCCAGTGTTTGTCCGAAGACAATCCTCCATGGTTATGTGGCTGGCGCGTCTAGATACAGAACGCTGTTACCTTCCCACCGTGGTGGTACCTATTTATCTACTCGCGTTTACATGCCTTTGAACTGCTAGGTTGGCGGGAGCTGGGAGAAGCGATGGGGGCTCACTCCATCGTATGGATTCAATCTTACGACTGCAGGTCTTCTGACCTTGCAGTACAGAGGCTTCTGTGGTTTAACCTGCAGCGCCACCACGTCCCTTTCTAGGTATTACATAGATATAAATATCCACTTATTAAGCTTATTTAGTTAGATTTTTTTGCCCTCTACTATGTTTTTACTATTGATTTTGAGTTGGATCCAGATTTAGGTTCTGCACCACCTGAAGGATTTAGGTTCTGCACCACCGTATATGGAACCAAATTAACAGAAACAGACTTTTGTGGCATCTCCTCCCCGCTAGAACTTCTTCCATCCTCTGAAAATATTACACAAACCGAGCAAAGTGATGGAAAGGAGAAGAGGCACATTTGTGAACAGAGCTTTTCTGTCCATGGATATCAAGTCCTGGATCCAGCCCTTCCCATATGTGTCCATTCTGTCACAGAAAGAGATAGTAATATATGTTTTTCTTCAGGTGTACTATGATTCCTTATTTTACACGCTTAGTGTCATCACAATCCTGTTTATTGGATTGCTAGCTTCAGTGTGTTTGATGTAAATTGCTTAAACTGTTTATAGTGCTTAAACCATTTTAGATTCTTTTCAAAGTGAGCTCACTGAGTGCCAGTTTAGTGGATAAAGTGTTGGACTGTGACTCGGGAGGCTTAGGATGTAGTTATACTAGCAGCAGGGAGTGAATTTATGTGGACCATTTTGGAATGGTTGAGCTTGATTGATATAGTCAAGGCTAACTGTTCACACATAAATGACTCCTGCCAATATTATGAAATGGATGAATGAGTAACCCACTTCAGAATACTGGCAAATTAATCACTTCCTTTGCTCTCCAGAAGGCTTTTAATTGAAATAATATCAACTGTGGGTCCTGATGGCAATTTTAGACTATATATTTTAATTGTATTTTAATTGTTGTATCTTTTTATTGTATTTTGATTGTTGTAAACCGTCTAGAGACCTTTGGGTAGAGTGGGTGGCATATAAGTTGAAGGGAGGGAGGGAGGAAGGAAGGAAGGTCTCCCGTAGCTTGGGGGCCCTGTTAAGGTCACCATAAGTCAAAAGTGACTTGCTGGCACATATCACACAAACAGATTATACCATCTTATCTGCTGATACATAAAGTAAATACAGAGAGTTGGTTAGTAAAATGAAGTAACATCAGTCAGTATAAATGTGATTGTTGGTGGAACTAGAATTATTTTCACTTTTGTAACATCTCTGAAGACAGAAAATTCAGTTAGATGGCAACTTGTCCATTACATAACGGTCTCTTGCAGCCTAGATGCTGTCTCTTTACAGTTTAGAAAACTGAGGCCTTGAATGTTGTCTCATTAAAAATGTATTACACCGTTTTGTTGAGATTTATAATGTTTTTGTTAGAGAGGAAGTTTTTATGTTTGCAAACAGTTTTGATCTATTTCTTACTAAAGGATAATTCCTTAAGTACACAATGGAGAAGGATTTGAACTACACAGCTGAGGAAGATGCAGTGCAATACCAGCTGTTCTTGACAAATGAACCAGAAGACCCTGAAAATTTTCAACAATACATTGAAAGAATACTAGCACACCTTGCACCCATACTGGTTTCCTACATCTGGCAGTATCAGCCATTTAATCTAAAGTACAAACCTGCCAAAGGTAAAAATTACGGTCTTTTCATTTGACTTTGATACTTTTGAATTTGGAAACTGGCCATCCAGTTCTCTGAGAATTGGTGGAATAGGGATGGTGGCCCTCCAGATCTTGAGCTGTGGTTCTCATCATTCATGACTACTAGCTGCAAGTTGATGAGAGTTGTAGCCCAACAGCATCTGGAGAGTGACAAGTTACTTGTCCTTGTTGTAGCATATTCAGTGGTGATAGTATTTCAGCATACTGGGTGTGAACTGTGAGCAGCATTCTAGCAGCTGTTCATGCCTTTATCCCAGATGTTCATATTTCTGCAACACAGCAGGATGCCTAGCATTCAGTGTGTGTATCTTTCAGCGCAAGGATTTGGGCTGTTGGAGCAGTCTAAGTGTTCTGGTGTGTTTTAGATGTCGTAATGTTTTTCTCAAATTTTGCTTCCACACTAAAAATTAAAAAACTTCACAGCCTAAATCATCTTGCACATCCCAACTAGAACAGATCTATTGAATGGTGAGTCAATCCTTATGTAAATCTCACTGATTTAATGGGTCTCCTCCAGTTTGTACTACCAATAGGATTCTGACCTATAGGCCATACTTAAATGTTTCATACACACCATGCATTTAGACGTAGTAAATGTGAACAAACTGATTATAAGAGGAAACTGAGCCTTCTCTTATCCTCTCAGTTGTAAACCTGTTTGATTCAGTTATTTTCAGGTCCAATGCTATAATAGAATATAGTAAAATAGATTATCTATTGTTATAAAATAGTTTATTATTTATATAGTGATCTATGTTTATATTGCAGATGTAAAGAGATTTAATAGGTCCTTGCCCCAAGAGGGTTGCAGTTTCAAAATAGAAAAAAGTGAAAGAGGAAGAGTAAAGGCAAGGGTACATAGGAAACTATTTGCAGTTTTTTCAATTACATATACTTTGGTTTCATTACAATAAAGGATTGGAACAAAGGGGTTGTTTCATATGCTTTCTAGAAAATGGCTTAACTGTAGTATCATCTGTCTCTTCTCTTTCTCCAGGAGATATTCCTGCTCATATTGGCGGACTCACAAAATTTGGGGATAACATTGAAGATGAATGGTTTGTTGTATACCTCATAAAGGAAATTACAAAGGAGTTTCCAGAATTGGTGGCTAGGTACTTATAACCACAGTCTTTATGTATCCAAATCTGAATGCAGCTTGGGTAAATTGTTGCTTGTAATAATACTTTAGGCTGAATTTGTGCACAGCTACAATCCAGTAGGGTTCTTCTGCCACGAAACAGCTCATATTATGAGAACTGGGAAAGGTTATTCCCTGCCTACTGTAGTCCTCTGTGTTCTTTCAAAACCAGTTCCAGGGAGTGGGACGTCCTGAAGAGCATGTTTCCTGGCAGTATAGAGGTCTGCAGGAGAGGAAGGAGATCCTGTTGCTCTAACAGATGGCTGCTGCGAAAATGGCAGACAATATTTGTAATAAATTAGATTTCATTTTTGAGAATCTTTCGCTTACACTAGTGCAAAGTGGACCTGTTCTTGGTAGGTGAGATTAAGATTGGACCATGATTTGATTGTCTCAGTATATTAAAATTTTAGCTTTCACATTTGTAAAATACGTATACAGCTAAGTCAAAGTAAAAAAGATCCATGTTTGTGAGAGAGATTTTTTTCCATTGAATAGGGTGGATGATAATGATGGTGAATTCCTACTAATAGAAGCAGCTGATTTCCTTCCAAAGTGGTTGAATCCTGAAAATAGTACCAATCGGGTAAGAAGGATTTAAGAATAATAGCAACTGGAATGCTGCTTAGTCTAAACAATATGTGCTGGGTGCCTACATCTGTTTCTCTTATCTTTATTTTAATTGGCAGACTGGATGGCTCAGTGGTTAAGATTTCTGGCTGTGGAGCATGAAGTTGGGAGTTCAGTTCCCCACTGCAGCTCCAGTGAATAGAGCCAGCCTGTGTGGCCTGGGGTAAACTGCACAGTCCCAAGAAGAAGGGAATGGTAAACCATTCCTCAGTACTTTGTACATAGAAATCCCTGGAAACGGTCACCAAAAAACTGGACTTGATGGCACACAATTATTTTAATCAGGTTTCTAAAATGAATGCCATTTTTAGCACTTTGGAATGCTTTGTCCAAAAGCTGGTTTAAAATCTTTGAAATATTACTTTTACAGCTATTCTGTTTCTGACTACTAGCCTATTTTGAAGAGTTTTTAAATTATCATGTTTGAATCTATGATTATTTCACAGTCTTTTATACATAGAACAGTAACACATTTTTGCCAGGTGTTCTTTCACCATGGAGAATTGTGCATAATTCCATTGCCTAAGACATCTGAAGAGAGGACATTATTGCCTGTCACCAGTCCTACAATTCCTCAAGCATTGAAGTTGTTTTCCATCTATTCTGGGCATTTTGTAGCTTCAAAATCTATTAGAGAAGCAGTATATAAACGCATCAATGGGTGAGTAATCTAAAGAAAAGTTTTTATTATAGATTGTCTACAATACATTGTACTGCAAAAGGTCAAGGAACGCTACCCAGCCACAAAGACCAGTGATCACTGCACACAAAGGACTAGCTAACAGTGCTCATCAATCACAGTGACAGATAATCTCCCCCCTTATCACAACAATACACCCATAGCAAAAACACCCTGATCACTATAATCATTCAATCACCTGAAAAAGACAAAAAGCTGATCCCACAGCTACAAATATTCAGCTATCCCACACACTACCCCAGAACACAGATAGAGTTCCAGTGGTGGCGAACCTCGCTGCAATAGCAGCAGCGGCTGACCCGAAATCAGAAGTGTAGACCTGGAAGTGGTGGACCTGGAAACGGAAGTGGCGACGGAAGGAGGAATCCTGGCATGAAGGTGCCTCAAGACCCCTCTACTGCCAGCATCAGTTGCTCCGGGTCCGCCTGCCAAAGCACCAGCACCAGCTGTAGCCGCCTCCTGATGTTTAGCTGCGTGGGGGTGGGGTGGGCGGGGGGAGTAGCGATCTGGTGATCTATGGCTTGCGTGCCAGCAGAAAGGGCTCTGCGTGCCAGCTGTGGCACGCGTGCCATAGGTTCACCATTGCTGCAGAGTTCTAACTCGTGTCCTCTGAAGATGCCGGCCACAGAGATGGGTGAAATGCTAAGAAGAAAAACCTTCAGAACACGGGCAAACAGCCCGAAAAGCCTACAACAACCATTGGATCCCGGCCATGAAAGCCTTCGAGAATACATCATACTTTGTTAATGCTTGTGTGTTTGATCAGCTGTTTAATTTAAGGATATCTCTCCCAAGTTTCAGCCTATAATTCTTTCCTAGATGGTTTACAAGTAACCTGAAAATACGCTTAAAAAAAGCACTATACAGTAATAGAAAGCCCTGTAATGGAATTAGAAAGTCATCTGGAAGAGGAATAAATGTCTGAAATCTTCCTTGTCTCTCCCTCCCTCTCTCTGTGGCTCCTCTTTCTCCTTTTTTCTTTGTGACTCCCCCATCTCCCTTTTCATGGCTCTTTTCTTTCATTATGACTTCTCTCTCCTCACCCCCACCCATGGCTTCTCTCAGTCTCTCTCACAGCTTCTGTAATAACCAAGTCAACACAGCAGTTTGCCAGCACCTTGGCAGTTACCTGCAGTATGATGCAGGACACAGTAATGTCACCAATATTTAACTTTTATATGGAACAGCTGGCAACAGTTAATGAGTGGTTTCAAGCATAGCATCAGGCCAATGCTGTGGAGACAGTGCTATTTCTCTGTAATGTCTGAGTGAGGTGAGAATGTGCATGTGCTAAACCAGTGACTTAGATGTAGTGATAAGCAAGATGAGGAATAATTAATTGAAGTTGAATCCTGGAAAGACCAACGCTTTATGAATGAACAGTTCTCAGGCCCAGGATCTAAGGAATTTACCCTTGCCTAGATATTCCACTGTTTCTGATGGAATATGTATATACCGTGTTTCTCCGAAAATAAGACAGGGTCTTATATTTTTGCTCCAAAAACACATTAGGGCTTATTTTTGTGGGGATGTGGTTTTTTCATGTACAACAATCTATGTTTATTCAAATACAGTCATGTCATTGTCTTCTGGTTGCTGTACGTTGGTGGAAGGTGGGATTTCAATTAACTGGGGCTTATTTTTGGGGTAGGGCTTACATTACGAGCATCCTGAAAAATCATACTAGGGCTTATTTTCAGGTTAGGTCTTATTTTCAGGGATACAGGGTAGGTGGTGCCATCATTGCCTTTGCTTGAAGTGCCTCTTAATTATGCATGGTGTTGCCTTTTTCTGCCATAGGTATCCTACGAGAATCCAGACTTTCCTTCACCGAGCTCACTGTTACATTCCAGGAGGCATTGCAGCAGTGCTCAAACAGCGACCCACGTTAGTGTCTGCAGCAGTCCAAGCTTTTTATCTGAGAGACCCCATTGACTTAAAAGCCTGTCAGGTTTTCAAAACCTTCCCACCAGAAACACGTGTAATGACTTTAGTAAGTAGTGGCTGTGTTTGGAGCCAATTGCGTCACTCAACATGACATGTTATCACAGATGCTTTATATATGCATATTTAACAGACACTCAATATTCAGTTTGTGTGTTTGTGTGTGTATGTATTCAGTATTAGTATCTACTGGATAGATACTCTGTCTCATTTTTTGGTGAGTCATGTTATTGTAGGAGGGAGAAAAAAAAACAATGTGAAAGCCTACAAAGTAACTATGTCTTGTAATTCATATTGTCCTATGATAATTTGTGCATCTGCAGCTTTTTTTCTAGTTTTTCTTTTTCAATTATGTTTCCTTAGTAGATGTTGAATGACACTCAAGATGACATCCCCAACTTTCAAGTGATTTTTTTCTTTTTAGGATGTAGAAGGGGCTGGAATAAATGAGCAGAATTTTGCGTGCCATCTGGCAGTCACCAATATTTTACTGTGCCAAAAGGCCGGAGGAGCTGCCTGTACTCTGGCTTGAACTTTGGATGTGTTAAAGTTTATATCAACTGCATCTAAGTGAATCACATAAATCAAGCTGACAGTTACAAAAGTTGATGACTCATAAAATCTGGTAGTCCGCCAACATATACTCTTTCCTGATTAAACTGCATTTCCCCCCTTGATTTTGCAAAGCTTGAAATACTAGTAAGAGGCTAAAATAAATTCAAATATGCTTTATTGTGGGCAAATGCATATTTAATACAATGTTTGTGATTTTTCCAGGTTACTTTTACTAGGTGTCTGTATGCACAATTGGTTCAACAGGCTTTTGTACCAGACAGACGGAGTGGATACTCACTGCCTTCTCGTTCACATCCACAGTACAAGGCATATGAACTAGGCATGAAATTGGTAAACCTCTACTTTAACTCTTTATATTTCTAATTGTTAGACCTTGGTTTGACTGATAAGATTCACTTTGAGGTATAATTTATGAACAATGCACATAGATTTGTTTTTAAGTCTTGTTGATCGAAAGACACAGCCTTGTGAAAACAAAGTTTTGTCCAATTTAGTATGTTACCCACTGCCTGGTTCTTTTACAACTAAAGGAGAACAATTTTAATGCACTTTAGTGCTCTTCCAGTTCTCATTACAGTCTTTAGAAGGATAACTCAGACTAAAATGAGAACTACCTATACATACTTCATCTAAGTAAATGTATATAGTATGCTGAGAGTTCCTGCAATTAATTAGGATTGTCATCCTACATTTTCATTGTTTGTTTACTGAACATATGGTTTAAGTTATTTCACGTAAATATTATAACATTAAAAGACTGTCCTAACAAGTTACCATATCTCTTTATTCCTATATCTCAGGCTCATGGCTTTGAAATTCTGTGCTCAAAATGTAAGCCAATTCTTCATGGTTCCCAGGAGCATACATCAAAAGTTCCACTGTGGGATAACTTTCTTAACAGCCTGAAGAAAAACAATTATTTTAAGGTGAAATATTTTGAAAGATTTGCAAAACCACTTTAACAGTTTAAGCCAGTTAATTACTGATTATGTGTGCAAATGTAATTTTGTCATATCTTTATAAATTATACAAGCCTTGTTTCAACCAGAGCCATAGAATGGAAGGAGGAACAGTAGCTTCTGTCTTGTGATAGTTAAAAGGGAGCAGAACAAGATTATTTACAGTTGCTAGAAGAATGTTGCTTTGAGCCTAAAAATACATTTCACCACTTGTTTTAGTCATTAGGGTTCATGATATGTACACTAAGTATATCTTGGTGAGGCAATGTTATTGTTTTCCACGACCATACAGAACTACATATCTAGTTATATAATAACCAAGTTACAAAAACTTGGATGTGGAGTTCTGTACAACTGTGCAGTGCATTGCAACTGGTGTTAATGGTGGTATATCATTTAAGTATGCATATATATGCTGTGTGCATGGATAGCAACCTTAAGACTTGAACAGCCAAAACATCACTACCAAGGAACAAGGAGCTTTTTGCATGCTCATGGGTTCCCTGGGTTTTAGATAAAATGTTTAAGGAAAGGCTTTGTGCAAATATAGGTGATACCTCTCTTTCACCCTAACCATTATCGCAGAATGGTTGTAATAAAATGAATGGGGAAGAGTTTTGTTCAGCACCCTGAGCTCTATAGAGGGAAGATGGGCTAAGGAGTGTAAAAAAAAATAAGCAGTGGCTTTCTACAAGAAAGACAAAAATTAACTGGACATGTTGGGGTGAGGTGGGGGACACCAAATGTAGTATTCTAAAAGCAGGCATAAGTGGCTGGGGCACTGCACAGGAACTCTCTATACCAGGGGCCCCCAACCCCCAGTCCATGGCCTGGTGCCGGTCCATGGCCTGGGCCAGACTGGGCCACAGAGGCACATCTACCCCCCACACGCACTCCCCCCTGCACAGCCCATTTACACATGCACGTGAGCTCCCCCAGCCCTTTGTGCGTGCGCACAAGTGTGCACCCGCCTGTGCAAGCACCCCCGCTCCTTTGTGCATGTGCGCGAGTGCGGGGGGTGCCCCGCTTTCCCCCAACTGGTCCACAGTGTTAAAAAGTTTGGCATTATATAGAATAGGCCAGTCATATTGTAATAATTCATTTTCTCAGTTCAGATAGTTGGTACAATGTTCAGACAGCTTCTCAATATTGCTACAATATTTTTGTTGTAATTTTGCCTTTTATTGTGGTTTTTGTTAAAAGCTTCTTTTCATTGAATCACTTTGCTGATCATCTGTTTCAACTCAAGGAGCATTGGCCACATGTCCAAGTTTTTACTGAATGCAGTAGATCTCATGCAGGCTGCATAGGCTGTGGTAGGACAGTATTCTCCTGCCTCTGTCCTGTTGACAGCAAATACAGTATTTTGCTTAGTTGTGTGCTGTTTTTGTTGCAACATAATTGGTAATAAAACAGTTGTCATCAGAGTTAATAAAGATATACAGGGCACATATATTGTGTAAATATTCTACGTAATAAGTAAAGCACAGGGGAAAATGAACTGATCTATTTGTATATTTCAAAGGGTGAACTGGAAGGTTCTGCTCAATATCAGGATCGTTTGCATATGGCAGAAAATTATTTCCAACAGAGTGTAATCAGTCCACAAAGGTGAGAGCATTGAATTTGCTTATAGGAACTCAAGTTGTGCATCATTAATTCTAATTTATTTTGGTTCATTTATATGCTACATATGTATACAGTAGGGACTCGTTATCTGCAGGATCAGTATATGCTGATTAACTTATCCACAATCTGAAAACATTAAAGCTATTAAAAGAAAAATCCCCCCAAATATGTATTTTTAATAATGAAGTTATCAGAACTGATCACCAGAGGGAGCCAGAGACTGTGCTGTGTATAGTGTTTGCTATTAAAATAGCATTGTGCATTTTTCAGCATCTGGAGGGGACTTGGAACCGATCCCCTGCAGATACAAGGGTCCTAATTTAATTTTCAAGATTGTTTATTGGATAACTTCAACTTTAGGTTGTGTTTTCTGTTAGTTTAGTCTTGGTGAGCAGAAGTGAACAAAAGAAATTCTGTAGTCCCATGTTGTTTGTAAAAATAGTGTTCCTGAAATCTGATGACAGTGCATCACAGGGTTTTGAGTTGGAGTATTTCTATAACCATTTGCCTCAGAATACGGCCTATAAAACACATAGATAAGATTGCAGTGTAAAAGTATAAATTGTATTTAACTTGGTCTACAAACACAGGAACAAAAAAAAACCCCTATATACAGTATATCACAGAAGTGAGTACATCCCCTCACATTTCATAAATATTTTAGTATATCTTTTCATGTGACAACACTGAAGAAATGACACTTGGCTACAATGTAAAGCAGTGAGTATACAGCTTGTATAACAGTGTAAATGTCCTGTTCCCTCAAAATAATGCAACACACAGCCATTAATGTCTAAACCACTGGCAACAAAAGTGAGTACACCCCTAGGTGACAATGTCCAAATTGGGCACAATGTGTTAATATTTTATGTGGCCACCATTATTTTCCAGCATTGCCTTAACCCTCTTGGGCATAGAGTTCACCAGAGCTTCACAGATTGCCACTAGATTTCTCTGCCACTCCTCCATTACAAAATCACAGAGCTGGTGGATGTTAGAGACCTTGCACACCTCCACCTTCTGTTTCAGGATGCCCCCCCAGATGCTCAATAAGGTTTAGGTCTGGAGACATGCTTGTCCAGTCCATCACCTTTACCCTCAGCTTCTTTAGCAAGGCAGTGGTCATTTTGGAGGTGTGTTTGGGGTTATTATCATGTTGGAATAATGCCCTGCAGCCCTGTCTCCGAAGGGAGGGGATCATGCTCTGCTTCAGTATGTCACAGTACATGTTGGCATTCATGGTTCCATCAATGAACTGTAGTTCCCCAGTGCCAACAGCACTCATGCAGCCCCAGACCATGACATTCCCACCACACACTTGTCTTTGTACTCCTCACCTGGCTGCTGCCACACACGCTTGACACCATCTGAACCAAATAAGTTTATCTTGGTCTCATCGGACCACAGGACATGGTTTCAGAAATCCATGTCCTTAGTCTGCTTGTCTGCAGCAAACAGTATGCGAGCTTTCTTGTGTGTCATCTTCCTTCTGGGGAGACCAATTTGATGCAGTGTGTGGCGTGTGGTCTGAAATGTGAGGGGCTGTACTCCTATGATATACTGTAGATAGATAGATAGAGAGAGAGAGATACTAAAATACAATGTGTAGAGTACTGCTGTATATAGTTTTCCACTGAGATTTCTAGATGATGACTTCTCTCAACCCATGATGGTTTCCATATATGTACACTGAAAAAGTATGGCTACATACTTAACAGCCTTTTCACACACATATATACAGGTTTTTCTGGTATGTGTTACATATAGAATCATATACAAAGCAGCTCTTTCTGCTAGTAAGCTTATAAACCATGTTTAACTGTTGAAATATGAGTGTAGCAGACAATGAAAAAACTTGTTCAGTACATGTTACTAATCTGTTTTTGAGGGTTGTGTTTTCTTCTTTGGTAGTTCAGGTGTGGAGAGCCCAGGTGAGGAAATTTTGACCATATTGAAAGGAACTTCCTTTAACCTGGAAGATTTTCAGAAAGAAGCAGACAGTCTTCCTCCAGAGGATGGTAAGAAGAGTGTGTCAGAGAGTCAAATCTGTGTCCTTTAGGTTTTGTGCCTACTAAACCGCATTCCAAGATGGCCTTACATGCTTTGTGAAATGTAGATGCAAGCATGTTTCTTTGCACTTTCAATGTACAATCAGAAAATGTTTAGTTCGGTTGCTAAAAGCAGCAAAAGGTATGGAAAAATGGCCTTAAAAGATCAATCAGTGTGGTTGCATATATGTCTGCTCTGAAGCAAATATGGCTGACTTCAAAAGAGTTACTGTCCAGTGGGTGTGTATAGGATTGCAGCCTATATTGTGCTTGCTATATGCTGTCAGGTTGTTTCCAACTTACGGCCACTCGGGTAGGGTTTTCAAGGTATGTGAAATGTTCAGGGAGTAATTTGTCATTTCTACCTCTCAATGAGTTTTCACAGCTAAGTAGGATTCAGAATCCTCTGCCCACTACATCACATTACGAAATTATACAGATTATGCTATCAATATATTTGTGTATTCTGTTTAATAGGTTGTGGATTTTATGTTGGAATGAAATGGGAGAATAACATTACAAATGATCTTGCTATTTTTTATTAACTCTGGTCCAAATGAAATCTGCAGAGCAGGGAGTAGCAAAACTCTCATAATTCTGGTTTTAAAATGTTTTAAATTTTTCTTTGGTCTGTTCCCGTTCTTTCCCTTTTAATATTTGCTATACAAGTCATATTACTAAAGAGTAAAATTGCTGCAAAAAACACACTGCTTCCCCATCTCCTCTTCCATTATACAGATTTCTGATGTGTCCCTGACTTGAGCTTAACATTACATATGCCCTTTATTAACTTTGGATAAATTGAACCAGAGTATGCTCTTAACCATCCTTCAGAACTCAGATTTAATCAGGGCATCTCAGTTTTTCCCAGTTTCAATGTAAACATGGTTTAAACAATTAGCAGATGTAACAGCTGATTAAGGTACTGAAGAAAATTTACTTGTTGGAGGGAAGGAAGTGTGCAGTTTCACACGTCTGATTCTTTATATTGAATAACACTGAGCTAAGTCTGTTGTGTTAGAAATTCAGTAGCTCTACTGCCACTTTATGACAGTGAGGTCCAAGTTAACTGTGTTATGATTTTTGGAGAAGTAGATGCATTGCTTTCTGGGCAAGGAAATGGAGTATATACAAGGTTCAACATAAAGGAGCAAGCAGAAATAAAGTTCGTTTATTTGTTTTTATTTTAAAAATAAAATGATGGTGTCTCATTTTGTTACCCAAAAGAAATGACAATGGTTGTTTGTGCTATTTCTTGCCATCTCCACAAAGGCTGAACAGTTCATGAGACCTATTTCATTTTAGAGCCACATGTCACCATGTTCCCACATCTCAACATGTACAGTTATGTTCTCTGACACTTATACTGTGACTGAATCCAGTACTAAGTCACAATTAGAGGATGTCCACTGAATCAGTGAGGACCTGTTGAGTCAACTCCTCCATAAGTTCCTTTGATTCAGTAGATCTACTCTAGCTATGACTTACTATGGAATTTCAATTATTATGTGCTGTCAGTTTGGACTTACAGTGATCCTAGCAGGGTTTTTTAAGGTATAAAGTAGCATTATATCTTATTTCAGATGACAGTTGGCTGGAAATTTCTCCAGACACCCTGGATCAAATCCTTAAAGAAGCATCAGGCACAAACAAGCCTGCTTCTACTTTAAATGAAGAAGAACAGAACTATGACTTGGCAGAGGTCACTGAAAGTATGAAGGCTTTTATATCTAAAGTCTCAACACATGAAGGAGCAGAAGTCCCATGGTAAGTTTTTTTTCCTAATATATCCATGCATGCCTAAGCATAGTGAAACACTTCTCTGCTGTTTAATTTAGTAACTAACTCATCTTTCCGAGCAGTAATAACTTTTGAAGGATTTAGACTGCCGGATGTTACCTAAATTATGTTGATTTACTCCAAAATACTATGTGACTGAAAAACATCTGAAAGCATTTATAACTGGGTTTTTTTTTGTAAACTCTGCATTATTTGCCATGGCTAATTGCAGCTAATTGGTAAAGTGCTGAGATGCATCTCAGTTATGTATTTCGTCCTGTGGCAAGGTGTGCAGCCATGGGAACTTGTCAGCTGCAATTAGCTATTGGAAGTGACATGGACTTAGACTGATGCTGTTTTGTTAAATGATGAGGCTTGTTCAGAACTTGCATATTGCTGAAATAAGACCCAATCACCCTCCAAAAGTGACTTGTAGGAAGAGGAATGGACTGAATAGCCATAATGTCTGTTCAGAAGATCAAGTACAATCCTTTGCACACCTGAATTCAGTGGGCTTACTCAAAAAACCCAGGGCATTTCATTCTCTTAATAGCCATTCTGGGTGGGCAAGAGGTTGTTACAGTTACTATTAGCTCATCTGCAAAAGTAACATGTTACAATTCTTTATTACTGGGGTAGCCATGGGAAAATAAATGAAAGTGCTTACCAGTTTGCTAAACTGACCAGTTCTATGTATTGCACAAAGTACAATTTTAAAAGAATTTAAAAGGAAAGCTTTCCTCAGCCCATTCTTCCTGGATGGTTGGTAAAGGCTGACCGGCAGAGGTGCTACATGGAGCGGCATGGATGGATGGATGCTATGCAGAATTGATCACTAAAGCCCCAGGACACCTTCTCTTGGTTGTTCTCCAGACAGCTCAAACCTACATGAGCCTCACTTGAGCCTCTACTATGTCCTATGGCTACCCACTGTCTCTCTGAGAGGGAATAATGAATGAAACTCAGAAACATACAGGTTATAGAGTAAACAAGATACAGTACTTTATTCATATTAAAGGATAAATGCATCCCTCCCAACATCCAAAACAAACCAGGCTCTTGGCACTGATGCGTGCACACCCACCTACCCAACCTGAACCTTTGCATCACATTCTCACCTCCTTTTTTCCCCTTTAGCTCAGGTCTTTCTGGGTTTGTTTGCTTGTGTTCTCTCCTTTCCTTCTTGCTTGCTTTACAGTTCCTCCCCCTTCTCCACAAAAGAAATGGTGGGATGCAGGAAAGGAAGCACCCATGTGACCCTTCCTCCCCACCCCTTCTCTGAGACGTTAGCAGCTACAGAAATGGTGCATTAAGAATGTTGTGAATTAGACCTATGATTGCTGCAGACCAAAACCTATGTTATACCCCATTACTGCAAAAAAATGTTATTAAAGTAACATCTTACTTCTGAGCAGTGCTTCTTCATGTTTGGGATGGCATTAGTTTCAGTCTAGATGACATTACATTAAAGCCTTCATCAACTCAAAAATCTCTGTAGAGCCCCTTTTACAGTTTAGCCAATCATTGAAATCCTGTCAGCAAAGCATTTGTTACAGTTTTGAACTCTGTTTTTCTGTGTAGTTTGCATGCCTTTTTAACTCTTAGCAGATGCTACTGGTCTTTCATAACTGTCCTCTTTCTCTTTTGGGTTCCTAATCTTTACCCCTCTCCACCTAATAGGTTGTTCTCTTTCCCCTTCTTGGTATGCACCTCCATCTGTTACTCTTGATATATTGCTTTCCTGTTGACATGATTCTCTTATTGGACTTCCACATTTGTCCCATTTCTCCTTCTTTCCCCCCCCCCCATGTACTCTATAAAGCATTGTCAGATTACTTTGGGTCTCTGTGTATACCCCATTCCCTTCTCCTCACTCATCTTTCTGAGCGTGTCTACAGGAATGTTGTGGGGTACGAGGGGAGCTTCATAGTGATACATGAGCAGAATTCACACACCCAGCATGTGAACTGCAACATAGTGTGTTTATCGGTGTATATATAAAATTCAAGATCCAGGGGACCCTAATCCCCAAACATCTTTCTGCACCTTATTTCCCACTTCAGTTCACAAAACTCTCTGAAGCTTCATCTTATAATCTGTTATTTTGCCCAAGAAACCTTGTATCACAAGGTTTTATTCAAAACAAAAAAAACATTATGTGCAGTGGGATTGAGGCCAAAGAGACATACACAGAGTTCCACTCCTGGTAAAGAGAACATTCTCAGTTCCTGCAAACAGAAAGGGTAAGATGTCTTTTGCCAGTTCTGCCAATAATCTTCCTTGCCACCATCTTGTCTGGAATGTTTGACAAGGTAAAAGGTAATGAGGGTGAGGGGGAATAACATATAGGAAAAGAGAACTAGCAAAAAGTGCTCCCCCTCTTGTTCACAGAAGCCTTTGCTGGAACCCAACTTCCTTGGTCGACAGAAAGACTCAATGTGCAGAAGTGGATCCAGTGCAATATATTTATCTGTGAAGATTCTCTGTCATCCAGGTGTGGTTATCTGGAAGTTGAGTCCTGGCCACTGGGCTTATTTCTTGTTAGGTTGAAATGTTTCGCTACTCATCCAAGCAGCTGTCTTGCTCTGTCTGTGGACTGAAGAAGCTGATTGGATGAGCATTGAAATGTTACAACCTAACAAGAAAGAAGTCTAGTGGCATGACACAACTTCCAGATGTTGCAATGTATTCTTCTCAAATGCCAGTACCAGGCACAGTAAGTATAATGTATGAATTTTTCATTTCAGGTCTTCCACTGATTCCCGTATCACTTTTGATGCTGATTCTTTCACAGCAGCCATAGACAAAATATTGGGTGAGTTTACAGAGCAGAAGAGAGGCTAGTTAGATGTGCCTTGCCATAAAAAAGGTTTGTTTTCTGTCTCTCTGTTCCAAATAGTAAGCAATAAGTCAGTTTACTGATTATTCAAATATGTTGTTCTCTCTTTTATACATTCATTCTATTTTGTATCTAGGGACAAAATCAGAAGAACAGAGTTCAGAAGAACTGGATTCTGATGATTTAGATGAGGAAGAGGAGTTTGAATTCCTAGGCAGTGATGAAGAGTCTTATGTAAACAGGGAAAGTCAAGGCGAAACGGCACTGGAGAAAAAAACAAGTGGAAGTCTCAAAGCGTATATGCAGGAAATGGATCACGAACTAGCATCCACCAATATTGGGAAAAGCTTTAAAAATCAGCCACAAGCGGTATGTTTTATGTAGCCTTTTTTCCTTGTTTCCAGTAGGGAAGGCAGGAGAGACGTACCTAGTCATTAACACTAAAATATTGTTTCGCACTGCTTGTAAAATGTAGTTTTGTCCCTTACTTATTATTATTATTATTATTATTATTATTATTATTATTATTATTATTATTATTATTATTATTATTATTATTTTATTATTTTATTTTATTTTATTTTATTTTA